AAATGACATTTTTCCTTCTTCCTCGTTTGGTCAATTCCAATTATGTCTGTTCTATCTAATCTTCTCCCCGTTTATAGCACTTTTATACAATTCCGTTTGTTCTATTTTTCTATGTTGTATTACTACAAACTCTTAAATTTAGAAAACGTAAATGAACTACTATAGAGTTGTTATCAATTTCAAATATATTTTTTGCTAATGTTCCTACGCGTCCATATACAAGAAGCAATTATGGCAAAAGAAAAGCATGTACCGGGTAAAATATGGTGTGAACGTTATAATTATCCCACCCTTTACATTCACGTCTCGTCGTCTGTTAAAAGCTTAAAATGCGTGACACGATCCAGTGCCATACCGTTTGTTTTGGTATGCATATATTTATTGCAAATTGTATATTTTTTTTTTCCTTATTTCTCTTGTCAACCGGAACCGACGAAGATGAGAATTATATCAGAGCAATTTCGAATATTTTTTTATTAAAGCTCACATATATATATATATATATATATACATATATATTAAATAGTAGTATAGGAGCATCTATGATGCAACATATCTATCTATGTATATTAACTAATATTGAATTAGACCAGAATTCAACAAACTGACGATATTCCACGTAGAGTTTGTCGATTTGTCATATCTAATTATTTTATAGAAATTTATCTGTATATAATAAATAAGAAGCTTGTAATTTAGGACCGTTCAAATTTATATTATTTTCTGTATATAAATAGAATTTTTATCTATTGTTGTCTTTTTGTGTATTATATAGTTGATGAATATATAGATTTCATAATTAGTGCACATGAGAAAAGAAAGAAGAATCTTCATTTAGAGAAAATAAAGGAAAAAGTGAAATGCACTGTTTGAGATATATGAATCATTATTGGATGAATTTAAGCACAAGCGCATAAACCGTGGGTAATGACATTAAATAATGAATATTGGAAAAAATCCACGAGTTCATGATTATTATTAGGTAGAAAGTAGAAATTATGTAAATACTTAGAAACTTTTTTACTCGTCACTGAACACAAGTGTTTTTATATATCTAGAGATTATTATTTTGAACTTATCTAGAGATTATTACTGAGCCTTCAAAACAACAATTGTGGCCTTAAAGATTGACTATGAAATAGTTCCACTCGGCCACTCATAACTTCATAAGTGCGATCAAAGATATTTAGAATTAAATATAAGAACTCAGCCTTAAAAAAAATATATGAACTCAAAGTAAAAAACAAATTGTATGGTCAGTGTGATAGTGGTGTGATATAAAAAAGGAAGAATTTATATTCGATCTCTCCCGTGGACAATGGCACTAGTGGAATGTAATACCACATGAGATCACGCCACAATGACCCTAGTTGCCAATAGATTTATATCAACAACGAGAAAAGGATTAGTTCTCTTTAGGAAATATCACAATGGCATCCGATACAAACCAGCATTTTTCACTATGTATGTGTATAAGACATGTATTCGAAACTTTCATCCTATCAAATAGTATTTGATTTTTTTACACATTGAAGATTTATATTTTAAATATCTAAACAGCTGTTTCAAATTATTATTATTTTTATCTAAACAGCTAATTAAATATGGTTTTTGATCAGCATTGATCTTGCCCTTTCATAACTTATAAGACTAACCACCTCTTTAGACAAAAAGTAATTAAGCATATTTTTGTAACATATGCATCACCTTATACGTATAGGCAATCTGGTTTATACAATGATGATGCACGAGGTTTATAAAAAATTAAATAAACAATAAGATAGAGAGATTATTGAATGATGAAGGCAGAGTTGGAGAGGTAAGCCCAAAGTGGGTCCCTTTGCACCCTGAATTTGACGCAGACATTATCATAAACACGAAGATCCATCAATTCTAGAGGTCCATTTTAGACATTCATTTCGAAAGTACGGTCAAACCGAAAGTGTAAACTAATTATAATACTTTTGTTTTGCAACTATATACCATTTTAAATGAAAAGGGTTCCAGAATTATATGAGTCACATGTATTGTTTAACATCAAAATTTAAAAGCTTTTAAAATTTTGAAATAAGAAAAGAGACAATATAATTTGTCAAGTAGACGAAACAAAAAAAAAGGATATGTCTTGTTTTAGGTCTGGTCTAGAAGTGATTATGAGCTAAGTATGATGTTTTTGTAGTGAATTAAGGAGTTTTTTTTTTGAACAATGGATTAAGAAGTTCTATAAGAGATATAAATAAGGTTTTTTTGGGGGGGGGGGGGGGGGTTAGAAAGATATCGAAAAAATATGTATAGTTGAGAGAGTTATTTAACAAAAAGATATAAAAGATATGACGACCAAAAAGAAATGGAGGCTTCTCACCAGCTTTTCTTAAATATGTTTAGAGAAAATAACTTATACTTTTAAAGTTAAATTCCTTGTTAATTTTACATTTTGATATATGTTAGATCAGGTTTATTTTTCATTTTAAAATGATGTAAACTATGTGAAAATAATCCTATAGATTTTTTTCCTCGAATGCAACATTTAAAGATTTCTTGCTTATGTTTATTAAATTTTCAGCAATCCATCTTTATGAAATGTCTGACTATAATTAATGTTCACAAAAAATATTAATTATTTGCATGAACACAAACGAATAAAAAAATTATTTGCAATATATACTTCTTAATCATATGATAAAATAATCTACAATATAGTGGAAAAGGGTGTTCTAATGTGAAATTTCCAGATAATTTGTTGGCAAATTGTTACATTTATTTCTAGGTATTTATTCAATAACTACGATATATATATGTACATATATATAAATTCTAAACCAAATAATTAAACTAATTGTTAAACTACAACTTTGCGAATTGCAGTAGTTCAAAATCACATATTTCATCATTCGTCAAAAATATAAGTTTTCGGTTTCGTTTTTGAAAAATACTTTACATATCTCTTAAATCTTTAAAGAGAAGATAAATGAAATAAATATGAAAAAGGGATGAAACTATATAAGGTTAATTGAATACTTAAAGAGGGGGCATAATAATAAAAGTGATTAAACGGGTGAGTTTAGGGATCAATCAGCTTGACCCACCTAAAAGCTTATACAAACGGATGGTTCTACACTTCTACTTTACTCGTATTGCCTTTTGTCAACGGCGCGTAACGTCACATGACATCAGCGCGTGACAGTGCGATATGGATCTCAAAAGAAAGTAACTTTGATATTTTCATATTTTCATCAGCGGCGCGTAAGAAACTTTACCTTTTCACCATCTACTGGAACTTTATTTTAACTTTGATATTTTCATATTTTATCATTGATTTATAAATAAAATAGACACTTTAATCCAAACCTAAATACGCATTAACCACACCTTCCTGTATTAACCCCCACCACTAACAGACAACTGTTTTAAGTTGTTAACTAATTAGTCAAGTTAATTAATAATTACACACATAAATAGTCCAGATTCTTCTGCTAATTAACCTATTAATGACTCAGATCCTAGTCAACGTTAGTACAAAGAATTCTTATTTACATTTTTACATCAAGCTTTTATAATTGGTACAATTATGTATAATTACATCATCCTTATCCTTCTCATTCTCCAATTATATGTGTTTTTGCTGAAAAGCGTATCCGTAATCATTATTTGATTCATAATCTTTGTTATCCTTGCCACATGTATATTATTTTTATTATTATTGCTATCCATATAGACAAAATTATGCAGAATTTTGACTAATTATTCAGACCAGATTCACACGTTTATTAGGGATTAAAAAGTTTTGGAATACTATGAATCTTTTTTAATTTAATATGATCATTAAATAGGTAATATGTGTGTTGGAAAAAGCGTGTATTGAATCAAAAACTAGGATTTTGGCGTGGAAGAAAATAATAAAACATAAACGAAACGTGAATAATAGAGAAAAGAATTTTAATTTATTCAGAGTTCACCAAAAAGGTTTTATTATATATATCAAAAAAGTTCACTGAAAAGAAAAAGATGAAAAAGAAAGAAAACGCCGTTGGCGACCAATTGAAAACGGAACCTTGAACACGGAGGAGTCTCTGTCTTGTCCAAATAAAAGAAAAAACCACTTTGAAGTCTTTGTCATGTCTTTTTAAAAATAATTTAATTTTAAATAAAATCAAACTGTAATAATCAATCATAAATAATTAATTTAAAATGGTATAAAATATTAAAAAATAGTATAAACCCTAGTAAGAATTATAGAATAAGATCTTTTTTCAAAATAAAATTATAGAATAAGATCAGTAAATTTTAAAAAAAAAAAGAGAGAGAGAGGGAATAGAACAGAGGAGAGAGAAAAAGGTGTGAACAGTTAATGGCGGAGCAGTATAAGGAATCGCGTCTCTCTATTACAAATCTGCAATAACTCTGTATCATCATTCTTCTCTAATAGAAAAAAACAAAACAAAAGCAGAACAAGAAAGAAAGAGAAAGAACCAGTGTTTGATGTTATTGTTAGTAGAGAAGAAGAAGAATAAAAACCTCTCTCTGTCTGAAAGTGTTGTTTCTCGAGATGCGAGCTCAGTTCTGTAGAAAAGGAACCTTCTCTGTACTTCTCCTCTTCCTCCTTTTGATTCTCATCTTGCCCAATCTTTAATCTTCTTCTTTCTTTAGATTCACTCTTTCTTGTTTCTGTGATCAAAGGAGAAAGTCAAGAATCTTTTCTAGTTTTTATTGGTATCAGATCTGTTTCTTGGTCTATATACTAATATAGTAAAAAATCTCGAAGAGGTTCTTGATCTAGGGTTTGTTATTGCTTGTCAAACAAAAAAAAAACAGAAATAAAATTCTCATCCAAATCTACCCACCATTTTTGTTGTGGGAGGTATTTTTATTTTCTTATTTTCTTACAGATAAAAATTCAAAGTCAAAGTTTTCACTTTTTTTTCTTCTTCATTCAAAATCTGAATATAGAGAGAGAGGAGGTTTTTTTTTTTTTTGTAAGTAAGAAATATTTGATTTTGTTTATGGGAATACCTGATGGTTCACTCCTAGATCTGATTGTTAAAGTTAGGTCTTGGATAACTTCTGATCCAAGCGATTCTTCTTTGTACTTATCTTCTTCCAAAAACTTTGAAACCATGCCTATCATTTCCAAAATGTGTAATGATTGTGGAGCCAACCTCCACCAAGGTGGCTACTATTGCCTCAGCTGTGGCCATTTGTGGTGCAAGAGCTGCTACTCTGAGTCTGATACAGAGGAGAGGCAAGAAGATTGCAAGAGGCTTTGCAGAGAATGTGATGGTGAAGTTCTTGAGTTGAGAGGAAAGGGTTATGATAAGGTTCACCCTCGTGATAGCCCTGATCCACCTTTCTTGGATTGCAGGAACATTGCTTCTATTCGTTGCTATCCTAGCAGGTACTCAAGTTCTTGATACAACGTTGAACATCTTTGGAGTGAGTTGTGTCTTATTATGTTGTGTGTTGTGTTTGCAGGGGAGAGGAAGAGCATTTTCTAAGCCCTTCTAGTGAATACTATCAGGGAAGTTCAGATGTAGAGTCAGGTAGTGTTAGTGCTAGGCATGAGCATTTTAGTTGTAAATCTTCTGCTGGGTCCAGTCCCCATGACAGTCCATTAAGGAACAATTTTAGTCCTCTTGGGCGCTTTGTACAGCACGCCAAAGACCTGAGTCCAAGAGTTGGTTCTTTTAATCATCAAGAACAACAACAACAACTCATGGCTAAGGCAGATCAGGAGGAGGAGGTGCAGCAACCGTTGGATTTTGAGAACAACGGCCGCATCTGGTACCCTCCACCTCCTGAAGATGAGAATGATGATGCTGAGAGTAACTACTTTGCGTATGACGATGATGACGATGATGTTGTGGACTCTGCTACCGAGTTTTCATTGAGTAGTAGCTTCTCTAGAGAGAAGCTTGGAGAGAGCAGTAATGAGCCTTTTAGAACGGTGGTGCATGACCATTTCAGAGCTCTTGTTTCAGAGTTATTACGTGGTGAGGAGCTTGCTCCTTGTGATGATGATGGCAGTGCTGGGGACTGGCTTGATATTGTCACTGCTTTGGCATGGCAGGCTGCGACTTTTGTAAAGCCTGATACTCGTGCAGGTGGTAGTATGGATCCAGGGAACTATGTCAAAATCAAATGTGTTGCATCAGGAAATCAAAATGAAAGGTACTCCCTCCGTTCCACTAAGATAGATGTTTTAGAATAAAGCATTTGTTTCACAAAAATATACTTTTATGTTTCCTATGCAGAAATTGCAAAATTTAAGAAAATTAATTGCGTTTTTATTGGAAATTGAAAATAGCAAAATAATGCATTTATAACCGTGATCTAATACGTATGAAAAGAAAATCTATTTTGAGGAGCGGAGGTAGTATAGTTTTCTCATAAAACTATTTCATTTTACTAATGTCTTCTTACTGAACACACCTTGTTTCTGCAGCATCCTTGTCCGGGGAATAGTGTGTAGCAAGAACATAACACACAAGAGAATGACATCACAGTACAAACATCCAAGGGTGCTTCTATTAGCTGGGTCTCTTGAGTATCAGAGAGTTGCTGGCCAGTTAGCTTCCTTCAACACTCTGCTCCAACAGGTTAGTCTTTTGCAAGCTCTTCCTTATAATCTCTAATTCATAAAGCTGAACTCAACTTAATAATATGTATGTGTGGGGGTAAACAGGAGAATGATCATCTCAAGGCGATTATAGCGAAAATAGATTCACGTCATCCTAATGTTGTCCTAGTAGAGAAGAGTGTGTCTTCATATGCTCAGCAGTATCTTCTAGAGAAGGATATTTCATTGGTGCTCAATGTGAAACGGTCATTGCTTGATCAAATAGCTCGTTGCACCGGTGCTGTTGTTTGCCCTTCTGTAGATAGCATCTCTAATGCTCAGTTGGGACACTGTGAGCTGTTCCGGACAGAGAAAGTGTTGGAGCAACATGAAATTGGTAATCAGTCTAACAGAAAACCTTCTAAGACATTAATGTACTTTGAAGGGTGTCCTAAACGCCTAGGTTGCACGGTATGTCCTAACTTAAATTTGTACTATCTATTTTCATGAGTGTTTTGATTATTCATTTGTGGAACTTGTGCAGGTTGTGCTTAAGGGAAGTTGTCGTGAAGAGCTGAAGAAGGTTAAGCATGTTATACAGTACGCTGTGTTTGCAGCTTACCACTTGTCGTTAGAGACTTCCTTCCTTGCGGATGAAGGTGCTTCTCTGCCTAAGATAAGACTAAAGCAGCCAGGGATGGTGAGGTCAGCTTCAGAGAGAAGAATAGTTGATGATGGCATTTCTCTAGTAACTCATTCTCCTACAGAGAAAGAATTGCAAGCTTTAACTGAAACAGCTGCTGCACAAGAAGATGAAGATACATTGCTAGAGCATGATGTTTGTGAATCTGAGGATTTTGATCCAAGTCTGATATTCCAATCATCTTGTGAAGTCGACACTGAGCAATCTGATGCCATGAATGATTATGGTGGAGAAACACCTACTCAACAGGTTAGAGGTGAAGAGGAGAATCTGCCACAACATGAGACATTCAATGAAGAAGATGTTTCTAGTGAATACTTCTCTGCTGCAGACTCTCATCAGAGCATCTTGGTCTCGTTTTCAAGCCGATGTGTTTTGAAAGAATCAGTATGTGAACGGTCAAGACTCTTGAGGATTAAGTTCTATGGATCTTTTGATAAACCTCTCGGAAAATACTTGAAAGATGATCTTTTCGACCAGACATCAAGCTGTAGAACGTGTAAGGAGCTGGTTGATGCTCATGTCCTCTGCTACTCTCACCAGAATGGGAACCTTACTATCAACGTTAGACGTCACTCTTCCATGAAGCTTCCTGGTGAGCAAGATGGGAAGATATGGATGTGGCATCGCTGCTTAAGGTGTGCACATGAAGACGGTGTCCCACCTGCTACTCGTAGAGTAGTTATGTCTGATGCTGCATGGGGACTGTCCTTTGGGAAGTTTCTTGAACTTAGCTTCTCGAATCATGCAACTGCGAATCGTGTTGCATCTTGTGGCCATTCACTTCAGAGAGACTGCCTTAGATTCTATGGGTATAAACTCTCATTCTCTAGAGTTATTACAATGATGGTAAGGCACTAATAGTATTATGTTTTGCAGATTTGGGAACATGGTTGCCTTCTTTAGATACTCTCCTATCAACATACTTACTGTCTTTCTTCCTCCATCAATGCTTGAGTTCAACAGCCATCCTCAACCTGAGTGGATAAGGACAGAGGCAGCAGAGGTTTGTTTCAAGTCCTCTTTGCTTCAGGTTTTGGTATATGCTCATATACTTTCTCTTTGTGCATTCTACAGCTTATGAGTAAGATGAGGACTATGTATGATGAGATATCTGGTATGCTCAACCACATGGAAGAGAAGAGCAGTTTGCTTGAACCTGAACAACCTGAAGCCTCTGATCTGCAGAGCCGCATAATGGGATTAAAAGATCAACTAGTGAAGGAGAAAGATGAATACAATGTGAGTTCCTTGTCTTAAAGATTTGCGTCTGTTTGTAAAATCTTGTTGAGTTTGTATTTATTGGAATCTTACTTGCTGTGATCAGGATGCATTGCAACCTATTTTTGTGGAGAATCTGCAAAGTCATGGGAGTTTGGATGTTCTTGAGCTGAATAGATTGAGGAGGGCACTCATGATTGGTTCTCATGCTTGGGACCATCAGATTTTCTTGCTAAACACTCAACTCAAAAAAGCTAGTGATGGCAATGCTTCTAGGAGTCTGGAGATACAGGAACCTCCAAAGACTGACCAGAGACCACAGGAAGGTTCAGATGAAGGGGAAGGACATGCCCTTTCTGATGCAGAAGCTAATAGTGACAATAAAGATTCAGACAAGTTACTCTCCCCTGGCTCTTCCCTGTCTGAGAGGATAGATTCAGCATGGTTAGGCTCATTTCATAGTGAGACAGAAGGCTTTCCACCTGCTAAGTCTCCCCTCAAGAGACTCGCCAGACCAATCCGAGTGCAGTCATTTGATTCAGCAATACGGTTTCAAGAAAGGATCCAGAAAGGTTTGCCACCATCTTCTTTATGCCTCTCAACACTCAGATCTTTCCACGCTTCAGGCGAGTACAGGAATATGGTGAGAGACCCTCTCTCTAATGTCATGAGGACTTACTCACAAATGTTGCCACTGGAAGTACAGAAGCTGGATCTCATCGTTGGTTCAGCGCCTACATACATCTCCTCAGCTTCTCAGATGGCTGATGGGGCTAGGATGCTGATCCCTCAACGTGGCCTAAACGATATAGTGATCCCTGTGTATGATGATGATCCCGCTAGTGTTGTATCCTATGCTCTCAACTCAAAGGAGTATAAAGAGTGGGTTGTTAAGAGAGGCATCACTAGGAGTAGTAACAGAGAGTCTGAACCTTCCACTTTCTCTACTTGGCGTTCTCTAGGGGCTATGGATGTTGATTACATTCACCATGCAGTGTATGGATCTTCTCAAGATAATAAGAAGTCTCCTCATCTGACTATCTCTTTCAGCGACCGCTCTTCCTCTGAAGGTAAAGTGAAGTTCTCTGTGACGTGTTACTTTGCAACACAGTTTGACACACTCAGAAAGACTTGCTGTCCGAGTGAAGTGGACTTTGTGAGGTCCTTGAGCCGGTGTCAGAGATGGTGTGCGCAGGGAGGGAAGAGTAATGTTTACTTTGCTAAGTCTTTGGACGAGAGGTTTATTATAAAACAAGTTGTCAAAACCGAGCTGGATTCTTTTGAGGATTTTGCACCTGAGTACTTTAAATACATGAAGGAGTCTCTCAGCTCTGGGAGCCCTACTTGTCTTGCTAAGATCCTCGGTATCTACCAGGTTAGTGCTCAGTGCTTTTTTTGGTTTGTAATGGAATGCTTTAGCTTGAATGCTATCTATGGTATGTGCAGGTCTCTATTAAACACTCTAAAGGTGGTAAAGAAACGAAAATGGATTTGATGGTGATGGAGAATCTTTTCTACAACAGAAGAATCTCTAGGATCTATGATCTCAAGGGATCTGCACGGTCAAGATACAATCCAAACACATCAGGAAAAGACAAAGTTTTGTTAGACATGAACCTTCTTGAGACACTAAGAACAGAACCTATATTCCTAGGAAGCAAGGCCAAGAGAAGCCTTGAAAGAGCTATATGGAATGACACAAACTTCTTAGCTGTAAGTGATTACACTAATACCAAACACAAACTCCTTGTTCTTATAATGTTTTGATTAATCTGTTTACTTATTTTTTGGCATTAGTCTGTGGATGTAATGGACTATTCATTGCTGGTTGGGTTTGATGAAGAGCGTAAAGAGCTGGTTCTTGGGATTATAGACTTCATGAGACAGTACACATGGGACAAGCACCTTGAGACTTGGGTGAAAGCTTCAGGCATTTTGGGTGGACCAAAGAATGCTTCTCCGACAATAATCTCACCAAAACAGTACAAGAGGAGGTTTAGAAAGGCCATGACCACTTACTTTCTCACTGTTCCTGAGCAGTGGACCTCTTGATTAAAGTGAAAAGAATGAACCATTTTTCATCATTCTCTATTTTTTAATAATCTCAATTTGTTATTCTAAAAAATAAAGAAAAGGGGGGATTGGTTTAACAAACTGATACAACATATACAGGTTGGGACCTGACTGATTGATTTGATCTTTTATTTGGTGTGTGTGTTGGCTTCTCTGAGTCTGGAGAATTGTATATTGTATTTACCGGCTAAACTTATGCCACACAATTTGAAAGAAAAATACTAATTGATTTGCCATTTTCTTTTATTTGTTCTTTAGTTAACTTTCACCAAGAGGACCTCTCACACAATTTTAATGATTTTCCATTTTATTTAATTCAACCAATATGCCAATTTCAAGTTAGTTCTATATTATTTTTTTTCCTGTTACATAAGGATAAATTGTTCATTTTTAAGAACATACTTAGAAGTTGTGTTACACAAGTTGGAACACATCCGTTTACTAGTGGCAATTTTTTGTGATTACAAGATGCAAGAAACGTGGCTTGACAAACGGATCAGTGTTTTGTTTGTTTCTCTTTTGGTCCTCAACAAAAAAAAAACCTAAAAATAATAGACAGCTTCTTTGTCTCCAATCTCAAAGCTTCTTCCCCCATTATGAAGCAACTGTTGTCTCTAAATAATCAAACCATTTGGAATGTTGAGGAGACAAAGTGATCTGATCTTGTTGTAGAAATCAGAGACACTCTCACTCTCTTTCCACAGTTTCTCCACTTGCCACTTTGGTAACTTCAGCTTCACACTAGTCACCACTTCTCTCTCTTTTTCATCAACCTCACTACGAGAAAGCTTCAGATTCTCTAGCCTCTCCTTGGCACCCACCTGGATTCCCAACCCAACCCTTCTCGGGGTTCTCACTTTCCACCTTATGCCACGTGGATTTCGATGAAAAGAAATATTACAAAACATTTTAAACCTAAACCAAAAGAGGAAACTGATGTATTTACCTGGGAAGTTGCACCATGAAATAAACCCTTTTGGTTTCCAAGTATTGTTTAGGATCCAAAGGCTTTGCTCTGATACCGAAACGCTTCACGGATTCAGATTCAAAAAGAACATGGCCAGGAAAATCTTTTACAACGGCACCAGCTTTTACCGGAGTTTTGAGCTTGAAACTCTTGCCATTGGTCTTCATGATTTTCACAGTTTTCTTTCTTCCCAAGATATTACCCATTATAGAATGATGCGTTTGGTACGTTTACTAAAAACGTAACACAAGAGAGTTTTTGTGTTTGCGGTTTGGTATCTATTAAGAGCTCAGATAACTATAGATTTTGGATTTTATGGTTGGTTGAGGTCAACAAAATGCCAAAGTCTTCAATGATTATAGAATAATTAGAAGACAAAGTTACGTCGCATTTCGCTATCGATCTTAACAGAACCGTGCAAACGTTTATAGTTGCCCAAAGCCAATCATAAAAAAAATCAATAATATATAATACAAATTCTTCAATACAGATAATAATACAAATTATTAAAGAAGAAATATATATAAAAATTATACTAATAACCAAAATAATATTTATATAATTATTTATCTTTTTATTTTATTTTAGAACTAATGTCAATTAAGTTGTCACCATTAAATTGTATAACTATTTTTAGATAAAGTAATTAAATTACTTAATGTTTTTTATGCCATGATCAAAAATAAGTTTTAATCAAATTTACATTTTTGAAAATATTAAAAAGGCATTCAAAACTATAACCATCAAACAATCTAATTAACCCAATTCTTTAATAATTAACAATTGTCTGTATTGTGCATTTAAATTGAAAAGGTTTAGTAAAAAAACAATTGTCTGTATTTTTGTTACTTAGGAAACCATGTTATCATTATAGTTCCATTGTTTTTCATTCTAATTATAACATTTTTTTTTATAGATATATTATGCGTTTGTTAATACTAATGATGCCCTTGATTTGTTTAACAATATTGTTGCCCAAAGCGAATGTTTCCTTTTTCCCTATTGAGGCACGGCACTGGATCTTAAACGAGTAACAACCCAAAAAATGAAGTTTATATATAAAAATCAAATAACTAATATAAATTTGAATTGTGTAATGTTCTTCAGTTAGAGTATAATTAATGTGCAAGATGGATATTGGAAAATATGTGAAAATGTTGAATTAACCAAAAAATTGTATTACAAAATTAATAAATCAATAAAAGAAACAGCCAATGATATTAAATTGAGAATAAAAAAAAACAGTTTTTCAGGTAGTAAATTAATTTCGAGGGTAACTATTGAGTATTGAGATGGTTTGCGGAAAAATTCCAGCAAAGAATTAGCTTTCTTCTTAAGCTCTAATCATCTCTCTTTTTTTTTTTGCCATCTGGTGTTTTAATATTAGATCGAACAAGAGAATACACTGATCCGGCAAAGGTATACAACCTTTCCAGAGTCTTAAGCCGGCGAGTTCACAGACCGAACATCCCGGAAGCAACAAGAGAAACATGATTAAACACACGACCAACATAAACAAAGCTAAAAGGAGGTGTATTTAAAACGCTTAGGAACAAAAGGAGCCAAATCAAACTCCAAAGCGAGGTCGGACGAACGTTCATTCTGAAGACCTTGGAGAAGCACGTGCTGAACCCAGAACCTAGAACTTGAGAGGACCATAAACCACCACAGGTCGAAACCACAAACTCACGATTACAGCCACGGCATAAACAAACGAAAGACCAAAGCCACCATAAAGCCAATAACTACTAACCACCAGTCTACAAAGATAAACCAGATCCTCGAGAGAGCAAAGCACAAGATCAAGTCTTGAAACTCCAAGTGGGGATAACGTCAAAAAGGACCAACAGCTCAAACACGCGGACACTCGTGTACCCAAACTCAACCATCTACAAGCAAGAGAATGGTCACCTCCTCGCAAGAGAAGAGCCAGAGATCGAAACCACTGCTTCGTCTTGGAACCTCACTCCACACCATAACGGCAAGGAGAACGCAAGTAGATACCTCCACAGCAACTTACCATCCAAGAGACGAACCCCACAAACGAGACTTTGACAAACGCGAACCACCGAAAGATCAAGAGAACAAAGTGAAGTAGGAGCCTCCCCTGTTCAAAAGCTACGACTCACAGAAAGCATAGCAGCGACTAACACACCAAATCCGGACTTCATAGCCCCGCCATTTAATAACCCGTCGAGATGGACATCAAACACAGCTAGCTCCCGAAGAAGACAAATAACCACCTCCACTACGCCAAACTCAAACCTGCAAATCCAGATTCAGAACCAACATACAAACTTAAACCCATAGAAACCAGAGGCAAGACGATAGATCTGAAAAGAGTCGAGCCGGTTGACTTCTCCGGTTACTATCAACACGGAAACACCAACCACCGAACCCTTCTACCGGCTCAGACGAGCAGAGACTGCTAGAGCAGAGAGCCTATAAAGAGACAGCATAAAACCATCCCATCGCAACACACAGATCTACAACGAGCCTCCTATCCTACCAAAAACCAGTTCCTATATGTGCAAGAAGAAAAAACGAGAGACGGGAATGCCTCTCCGGTGCCAGCGATGGACGCCAGTCACCGGAAAGCTACGGATCTGGACACAGAGGAGTTAGGCGGCGGAGTTCGCTTACAGAGGAAAAGTAGGGTTTTCGGGGGCTTTTCCGGAGTGAGATAATTAAAAAAAAAATTCAAAAATTAAAAAAATAAAAAAAAAATAAAAAAAAATAAAAAAAATAAAAAATAATAAAAATAATAAAAATAATAAAAAATAAAAAATAATACAAAAAATAAAAAAATAATAAAAAATAATAAAAAAAAAAAAAAA